GCTCATTGCGTTTCTTTGTTTATCGTCTACGCAAATACACGCTGTACCTATTTTACGATATACATTTATATATATAATACGACGCGTAGGTGTTGGTTTTGTCGTAGCCGTGGGTGACGCATCGGGGGTTTTTTTTTTAATGTTATTACTCGTGATGGATCGTCAATACGTAGTATAATCGTATGTATTTACGGTGTTTGAACGACGCCGTTCTCGATGGGGCACTTGCTGAGCGGTGGAGTGTTGACGAGGCGTTCGCTGCTCGGATGGTTCCTGGGATAGGCAGGGTACAGGGAGTTCGGGTCCACCACGTCTCTGCCGCTCTTACCGGTCATTAGGTCTCTGAAGGTAAAAATACGTTAAATCGGTATGGGGAAAACAGGAAAAAAACAACAACAACAGAAAGCCCGATTTCACATTTGCTCGGCGGTGAGGGTTTCGACGTCTTCCTTGACATTGCGTTCGTCGGTGCTCCTGCCGAATCTGCGGAAAGCATAGTTGGCGAACCGGCACGTGCGGCTCTCGTCGCCGCGCTCAAAAATATCGATGCTGCTGCTCAACATCGAGTGGAGTGTACACTGTGCAATGACGATAATCGTCAATATTAATGGGAAAACATCCACGAGATATTTGAAAACCATCTCGAAACTTACCCTCTCAATGGGGGTGAGGCTGTCGTTGGGGAAGTTGAAGGCGTTTCCCGGTATAACCCTCAGCGTCTGCGCGTGACGGAAAAACTGCTTGCCGAGCGGCGCGTAAGGGAGTATACCCTCGCGCGCTTTGACGTGCGGATTCCTCACGATGCCGTCCTGGCGGAATCTAGGGATATCGCCCGACAACGTTGCGAGTTAATTTTTCAACTACAAGTGGACATTGGTAAATGCGTATCGGAAACTGGGGCGACTAGAGAGAGGCCGTCGATCGATAAGACTACTGGAGACACATATATATGCCAGGGTTGATTTTTTTTTTCTTCCTTACCGATGTAGGATGGCCGTGGACAGGTAGCGCATGTCCAGGAGATTCACGTGCTGGGCCGAGTGGTCCTCGATCTTGCGGATTATCTCGATGAGGATTTTGATGTTGTGGGGCAGCTGGTTCCACCCCTTGTGGGTCTCGTCGTCGTAGCACTCAAAAAGCGCCGAGGGTAGGGTTTTGACCGCGTTCTCCTGGGACCTTGCGCCCGCGACTTGGGTGCACAAACGCGGGTTATTGCATTTTTTTTCCTTTTTTTTTTCCCGCTCCCCCCACTCAAATATATAATTCCATTACAGCGCCGAGCGACACGTAAACGGTGAATCATCGCGCGCCGTGCGAATTTTTATTCACAGTATACACGGTCACCCTGATGTCGATGTATTTTTTTTTTTGTTTGTTAAAAAAAAAAAAGTAAGCCGTATCGATTTCGTCGATAAAAAAATCTCTGTACGGAATCGTTCTCGGGCGTACGAAATAATGATAATAATAATCTCCCTAGCGCGGAATGCGAATGACACACTGAGTACACACGGTTCAATTGCGCGGAAAAGATTACGTGTCCGTTATCATGCCCCTTTTATGGCTCATCCATCGATTCCCGATGCGAATTTAGTCTGATGGGAAAAAAAAAACCGTTGCTTCGATCTACGCCGACATTTACGTGGGTCCGATCGAGCGCTGTAATATTCGTACCGACGTAGTTCGAAGTAACCGGCTCCCAAGTGTATACAGGAGAAAGAAAAAAAACTCACCGATAAAGCAGAGCAGCAGCATCGCGGCTCCCCGAGTCCCCCTCATTTTTGCTCCGCACTTTTTTTTTCCAGTTCAAAACCACTGGTCAAAGGTACAAGTAAAAAAAAAACAAGGTCCCGGATTAAAGCACCATCAGTAGAAAAAACAAAATGATAATAGAATAATCGCGTGGACCGCGAGCCGTGTAGGAGACGGTCCCGCGAGCGTACACCTGCGACGGGACGTGAGTCAAGATTGCGCGAGTACACGCCTCGTTTCGGGCCCTAGAGCTCGCGAGGTGATGCCTCACACCCGCCCCGAACGCGGCAGATAACGCGCTGGAGCACACGTATAATAGCCGATGCTCTTTTTCTCCTTATCTCCCGCTCCTCTTTTCTGTACGCGCTCGGCGAGCAACCTGCTCTCTTTTTTTTTTTTTTTTTCCTCCTTTTGGGTGACTAAATATTATACCCATACGGATATTCTAAAGATACGGGAGCGGACGGCTTTCGCTGTTTCGGAAGGAAGGAGGTCCGTGCGAGCTGTCGCGGGAGGTGTGGCTTTTTATTTTCTTTTTCAACTTTTTTACATTTCATCGAAACGCAAGGAAAACGTGGAAAGGAAAATTTCACATCCTCACAGTATCGCGTGTGAATTGTAATATTTGGCGTTTCTCTACATCTATGAAGTACAAGCGTTGACTTAATTTAATCAATCAACGTGCAATAACTCCGTTTGGATGGGAGTAATTTTAAAATAATCGGTTATGTGTATACATGGATGAACGACATCCAACGCTATATACGGTCGATAGCCGGCCGCTCTCGGGTACATATGTACGTATGAGAGCGGCACTCGATAAAATCGTCAATAATACAACACTTGGCTTTTGCTGAACATCGCAACGAGCGGATCACAATTTAGCGCCCACGACTCATGGGTGTGGACTCTTACTCGTGCCGCTTCTAATATATTTCACATCTAATATTGTACGCGCAAATGAGTGTACTGGTATTGAAGAAGAAGAAGAAGAAAAAAAAAGGGAGAGAGAGAGAGTGAGGTGATAACTGGGACACCCTGTTATTCGGCTGTCTCTGTCCACCTCACTATACATACGTACAACCATTGTACGGTTGACTTTGTTACGACAGCGTTATCTTATCGGATGTCGAGAGGCTGGCTCGCGCCTCCGCATCCCCGTAAGTACATATAGGTGTTACACTTTTTTTTTTTTCCTCTTCACGTAGGTGGGCTACACGCGCAGGTACACCTGTGTCGTGTGGTATATAGAGGTACACGCGGATGGAAGGAGATAGTACACACGTTATATACCGATCCGTTATTGTGTACACATCGACGTGCCGGCTCAGTCCGCTTTCTGCACACGGACGATGGGGATTACTCGATCATGACGGACCATGAGACCAGCTCTCCTCTGCCTCGTCGCTCTATTGGCGACCCTTGCCGGTAAGTATATACAAATCACCGTCTCGCACCGTCATCAGGGAATTGTCAATTTTTCTTTATCTTTTTTTTATTTTTTATTTTTTTTATTATTTTTACAGTATTGAAATGAGTCCTTACCAATAATAATTCGTATGTAAAAGTGCAAGTACATATTTTAATTGAATATTTTGGTTCCAAAAAAAATGAATTTAATAAATTGAGTTGAAATGTTAGTGGCATTTAATAAATTTAAATAAAATGTAAAAGATTATATTCAAACATTATAAGTATAGTTATCTACTAGCTGAGCATTATCTAATTTTATAACATTAACTTGCATCTTACTACAAGTAAGTCGATAAAGTCACTCACTTTAATTATAGTTTACATCAGCATGTTTGAAATGATATCTAATGTAAAACACTTTTTGATTTGCAGGATATTAATACTGATCATAAACTTGAGATAACACATAAAAACTATAAATAAATTATAGTAATTTTGAAAAAAATCAAGTATCCTTAATTTAACGATTCATCAATCGACTATTAAAACATATTCAGACAAATAAAAATACTTTTAGTTCTAATACAGTGTAAATTATTAAATAATGTTTGAAACACTTTATATTTTTTTACTCTGTCATCAGTAACAATGCAAAGTATTTGTGTGCAAAAAAATACATTTAGAAAAATATTAAATTTGTTGTTGTTCAATAAACACGATGATCTGTATCTGTAACGATCGTATTTAATTAAGCATCGTGTAACTTAGACTTTACAACCATAGGCTTAGAGCATTTTCTCCTAGATGGCGACACAAATCAGTGAGGGACGTAAGGGTACGTTGTTATACACCTTCGCTGGGCGAGTGGCTGAGGCGTACCACAAATCACAGCCTACGCCTCTCCTTTCTCTCTTCTCTCCCTCCCTACATCAGTATCCGGCCATGCTTGTCTTTTTTCCGTCGGACCGAAATACACACGACGTGGAGCTTAGCATCGCAAGTTTCTTCGTCTTTCCGTGCTTCATTTCTGACATTTTTTGTACTTTATCCCCGAAAAAATAGATTACCCCCTGTCTAGTAAGAAATTCCGAGTGACGCTGATGCTTTCTAGCTTTATATAGAAACGGATTTGCGTAATATCTCCGTATTTTCTTACAAGATATCTTGATGGCGCAGCAAAAGTTTCACATGAGCAGAGAATTTCATTTAATCTGAGCTGATTTATGTTAGGGGTGGTTTCTTCGTCAATAGATATTTACAAATTAGTTTTTTAAGAAAACAGTCCGACTTCTTGATCAAATTTTCCAAGTTTCCTATCAATACTTGACTTTATATTTTCCTGTTTAATTTATCTCCAAATAATTAAAATTTTTAAAATAAAATTCAGCAAGTGGATCAACTGATCATTTTTTCATTATTGTTTTGCATATACACTTTGTTTGGCAGCTTTTTCGTCGACTAAAAAACTTTCAGGAAAAAAATGTTTTTCATAACCATTTCGTTTTTACACCTACTAATTTTTTAAACAATTAATTTTTTATATACGTTAAAATGTTAGAGTTATATTTTTTTTTTTAATGTTTCCTAGGTATCTAAAAAAAATATCTAAACGTTTTTCACATATTTATTACTTAATCAACGATACATTCTACATTCTTACATTTTACTTTACAAAATCGAACTTTATTTCTTGAAGCTCCTAAAGAAGAAAAATAATTGCTGACGAAACTTGTTTGTACTATTTTATTTATATTTATAAAGAAGATCCCTGCGAAAAATCTGCCGTATGCCATTAACAAATGCTTAAACTCAACATTAAAAATATCTTCATAAAGTTCAAATAAAGTCGTAAAATAATAAGCAAGACTAGTTAAAAAATGTTAGTTCTTTTTGTATATCAGAAAACATAGGAAGCAACGTACAAAATCAAAAATAATTGAAAAGTTAAAAAGCTTTTGTAATCCTACGAGCAGCCAAATTTAAATCGTAGCGAGATCCAACTTATCCCTGAAAATAAAGGAGTTGCAGGTGGTAGGATGCGCACTAAGCTTCGGCAAAAATGCTTAAATAAGGTAGCCCAGGATTTTTCTTATTATGCAGGAAAAGAGAAAAAAATATCACAGAGGTAGTGGGAGGGAGCAAAAAATTGTTGGACGGAAAATAGTTTGCCGAGCGCCGAAATAATCCTGACAGCTGTGGCGCACATCAGCCATGCACAGAGCGTATAACCAGGCACCTTTTGCCGCTCTCGAGGTGCCCGCCCACCCCTCCGGTATAAAACTTTTCGACTAGCTATTCCGTGGGATACCCGGGGATATTCGCACGGGGAGGCGAAGCGAAGCCCGTGTCGTCATTTGCATTTTAACCCAGGTGGGGCGGATATTTTCAAAATTGTGAAGGGAGACGTAAAAAATACGCGCTCTGCTTTTATGCTACGGTGCCTTCTTCTTGCGACGGAACGTTTTGCCGACGGATTGCTGAGGTCTTTTTTTTTTTTTTTTTTTTGGACTCGTAGAGAGTAGTAGCTCTACTGTCAGGCTGGTTTTTCGCTGAGCTGCATGTATCACCCGTCGGACCGACGCACTTTTAATTTGCCGTTGAGAAATTTTAAATTTAACTTTTGCAGCCGAGAGTTTTGGTTGATTGAGCTGACAATTCTTTAATTTAAATTTTTTACCATTTTTTATTTTCGAAATAACCTTATAAAAGAAAAATAATTTGTGAAATTGAATCACTTATTTTAAAATAAAATAGATTTTTTTGGTGAGATGGTAGCTGGAGTAAAAAAAAAAATTTAAAGCCCGACACCTTTGAGCCGCTTTAGAAAGATAGAGCAATAAAAATACTAGAGGCAATAAGATGGCCCATCGTAAAAAACTTAGCTTGGCTACCGAGGTACGGTCTAATAGCCACAATAATCGTTGTTTCAGATCTTTAGGAAAATATTACACAGTTAAGAATATTGCATAGTTCAAAAACTTAATTTTTTTCAGTAGAAAAAAAAACTATGAATGTATATTTTGTCTTTGCACAATTCAAGAGTTTTACTTTTTTTTTTTTAAAGTAAATTTTTTACTTACTTTTTACTTTACTTCAAAAAATAAATGCACTAATAGGTGTTTTTTCAAAATAAACAACAATGCAAATATTTTATGGAAATTTGTGATAAAAAAATTATTTTTTCCTATTTGAGAAACATATCCAAGGGAAATATGTGGCAAGAAAAAAGGTAGGATGAAATATTCTTTGACAGTGTGAAAAAATGCTCTAATATAAATCCAAACGCGAGACACACATTACCGTAGTCTGATGAAATGTTTACGGGCACCCCGAGTAAAGGCTTTTTTTTTCCTTTCAAGCCCCAAGCGAAAGATGAAAGCCAGCCGTACGTGAACCAAGAAAATATTCCACCGGCATTTTGCAGAAGAAGGAGAGTCTGCCAAAAGCCAATAGCAGTTCGTGCTTTTCTCACTTGCGAGTGTGTGCGTTTTTCTCGAGAAAGAAGCGTACCCATACCGAAATCCAGACCCTAATCCGCGATTTCAAAAACCAGAGCGAGTATACGTGCAGAGACACAGTGAGGAAGTTAAGAAGGGCAGGGGTTGGCTGCGTCTGGGGAATAGCGAAAAATTCCACTTCGTATACCTATGCACACGTCTAAATCTTAAGGAAAAAAAAAAAAATGACGAGGGCGATGTTATGTATTTGCAAAAGATTTGTCGGTCCTTGCCTCCGTCTAAAATTTCTTGTTGCGGAAATGCGGCAGTAATAAAAAAAATTTCAGCTTTTCAAAATTTTCATAGTCAATTTTTGCTTAACTCATATTAAA